TGTCTGTCTGTCTGTCTGTCTGACCGCGTGCGAAATCGCAGACCTTGCCAATGCCATGAGCTCGTGGCTCAAGCTTTTGTTGAGCACACTTGAAGGTTGTAACTTCCACCTTACATTATTGTACCGCTCCGTGCTGCGAGGCAATGGTGGGTGGATGCATTAACCTATCCTTTGCTCTCGTCGTCGCGACTTCGACCCTTTTCGTCTGCACACTGGCGGAGGATGCCTGTCCTGCCCCCGCTAGAAGCCAGGCCCATGCTTTGCTCCAAAGCCACTCTGCACGCGAGCACATCGCAAGCTTAGCACAGGGATCGAATCAAAGCCAAAGCGATCCGTCAGAGGCCAACTACTCCAATGCTTCAGCCATCATTGCCCTGGTAGATGCATGTTTGCAGAATCGCATGACAGGGGATGAACAGGAGCAAGCCTTATGGGACTTGGTGAGGACAGCTGAGATTCTTTCCAAGTTGATGGATGCCAACGTCTCAGTGAAAGCTTTGGGCTCGGACTTGCCCGATGACAAAGGCGTGATCGAGGCTGCCACATTGCTATTGCTATTCTTTTCTCTTTCTGAAGTGTTTTATTGCTATTGTTTATCAGTTTTTTTTATAAATACTCGAGCCTCCCTCTTGCTGGAGCCTTCTACTGGTGATGAGGGGGCAGTGTCGTCTTATGTACCTGCGATGCAGAATCAGCGTGCTGATGATGCCATGTGTGGGCGCCAAAAAATACTTAGAATTGTAATGCCAAAGAATGGCCTGATCGAGGCTGCCATGGTTGCTGGCCGGGATGCCGCAGAAGCCTTGGTCAGGAAGCAGTTCGAGGCTGAGGCAGCGACGCTTCTGGGAGAGGCCAATCTGACTCAAGAGGCCATCGATCATTTCACGGAGAAGGTCGCTAAGATGGCTGAAATGTGTGGAGATTCCTCAGAAGCCCAGACCTTGGCAGACGACGAAGCGTCCATTATGTCGCGGAACATGGCCCCAGAAGAAGCTAGGATTGCAAAGGAGCTTGCTGACTATGTGGAAGGCCTTTGCCAGTCGGATGTCTTGGATTTGGATTTCTTTGTGGGCCGGCTTGCTGATGAGTCGCCGGAGTGCAATGCCCTGGTGGCTGACTCCCAACTCCTTCAAATGCAAAAGCACCTCTCAGCGCTGGATTTCTATGCCAAGAGCGCCCTCGTCCTGCATGATGAGGAGAACCGCCTGGGCCATCACTTTGCCAAGAGGCTGCATAGGCACCAGAGGGAGGAAGCCAGGGAAGTGGAGCCCTTGCTGATGCGAGCAGCGTTGAAGCATGGCTCCAGCAAGCCGAGGATGGCACGTCTTTTCTATTTGGACCGGCTTTACTACGACAAGATCCATGGCTTCAGCAAGGACCAGTATTGCGATTCCAACTTTCGTTTGCAGAAAGAACGGCCAGAGCATTGGATCAGCCAGAGTCAGGAAATCCGGGCATACGTTAACTGCGTGTGTGTGAAGAAGCGGCCATCGCTCTGGTGCGATGCCCACCATGCAGAGCCCTTAGCCCTTCTGCAAGCGAAGGTGGTGCAAGAACTGCAGGAGGCGAGTCGCAAACTGGACTCGCAGTCGCTGCTCCAGCTTCAGACAAAGACGCCTGTTGGTTTGGGGGCATGTCAGGATGCTGATGGGAAGCCCGCTGCCTTTGATTGCTCCTTTTGCGTGAATGGCAACAACTGCATCAGCACCAGCGGGTCCTACAGCCTCGACGTCTTTGGAAGCATCAAGGACGGTGAGTAGCAGTTTGTGATTGCCTCTCTTGTATCTTTTTGTCGCTCAGGTGTGAGGCCGCCCGTCCGTCGAAGCGTCTTTTTAACATTGAGACTGAAAAGGCTGGAAGGCCAAAGCACCCCAAAAGGAGATGTCGGGTGGCAGCAGTAAATCTGGTCTAAACGCTATGTATTCGACACGGACAGTGGGCGGCAACCAACGACCTGAGTAGACAGGCTTCTGAACCCCCAACCCTTAGCTTGTTTTCTTCATTTGCGATAATCAACCCTACACATGAAGCACAAGTGACAACAGGGGCGGCAGGCTCCAAAGGCAAAGGGGAAGATTTTGTCGTGGGAAGCCTTCGACCCCAATGTGTGCCGGAGACCGCGAGGTGAATAGACCCTGCATTGGAGATGTGGCCCCAAACACGCAGACAGAAAGCAAGGGCGCCGTGCATCCCCACAAAACAATTCACAGCCAAGAAATGCGTTGGGTAACTTCCAATGATTGGGCCGGTTTCAAGAGTGAAGCATGTCAGAAGTCACACGCATAAGCAGAACAAGCAATGACTGTCCGCACTTCCCTCAAGGAGCTTATGGGCACGTCGGCCAGCTGTGTGAAGGGCTATTGCACTCCTTGCATGGGCGTGAAGCCGGGCGATCCTTTCCAGTTCAAGCTGGATATTGGAGTGGAGGTTTCAGAATGCGGCAGCACTGCAGCCTTCCTGGCCACGTATCACTACTTTGCGGAGCTCAAGCTGTGCATTGGGGGTGTCTTGGGTGAGGCTGCTGACAAGATTGGTTGGAGTCTTTGCCAAAGTCTTGGGAAATTGAGCTATCATCCCTTCATTAGCAAGGTCCACTTCGCAATGAGCCTCCCGATCCCGCTCCCCCCACCAATCGGAGTGGCGGCAAGCCTTGCTGTGAACTTGAACTTGGGAGATATCTCCCAGGCCTGTGACAACCATTGCGCCACCTTTGGTCCTTCTCAACACTTCCGATGCTTGCAAGAGTTCTACGCTGCGAGGGGAGTGACAGGTGTGGACTTCAAAGTGGAGGTCCTGCTGGGTGTCAGCATCCCTTTTGTCGGCACTGTTGGCAAATGGTTCAAGGCTGGAGCGCTGTGTTTTGCAAAATGTTGCGGACATGTAGAAGGAGTATCGTCCAGCGTCATTGCCTTGAGTCGTCAGGTGCTTGGCTTCAGCTTCATGGAAGGCGACAACAGCCGTGAGATTGCCAAGAACAAGGCTGGAGTCACTATTGAGTACATTGGTCGAAATCCATCTGCGGCCGCACCTATTCCGGTGTGAATTGTGAGCCCTATGCTGGTGATGGGGACAACCGCGCCAACGAGGACTGCAGGGGCTGTGGAGATGACTGCAGTATTTGGCGTCCTGACCCCAACAATCCAAGGTCTCTCTGCATCAGGCGTGATGATTACAACGGTGGCTGGGGCATGCAGCTGGAGATCGCTTGCCCTGTGGACAATAGCCATCTGAAGGTTATCGTGCCGATCGGCTCCAGCTCCGTGAACACCAAATGCGCCATGCCCGATGAGCCGGTGACGTGCCGCTCCGACGGTGGGAACCAGGGCGTTCGGCTGGGCTTCGACACACACGCAGATTCCTACTCCGTGTACCGGGCCCGAGTAACGGACTGTAAACTGCAGTAAACTCTCGCAAAACCATGGAACTGCGACACCATGACGAAAGATGAAGCGGTGGAGGATAGAAAGTCATCATCACAGGCATTTCCGGTTGTCGCTTGTAAGACGAGAAGAGTCGATGATTTCCTGCGAACGTTTGCGAGCAATCCCTGTCAGGATGGGCACCGATGGTGTGCGCGCAGGACGGATCACGGTGGCGGCTGGGGGCTCAACCTCCAGCTCGAATGCGATCCAACCGGTGGATCCTTTGGCTTCCAAGTGCGCAACATTCACATGGGCAGCAGCCACGCCAACATGAAGTGCCTGCTGGTTACCCACGAGATGCTTTGCGATGCGCACACAGCTGACTCAGCGTACCGTACCAACGACGATTGCAGAAACTGTGGTGATTCTTTTTATGTGACCGTCGACAACCCATGGGGATATGTCTGTGCCCGCAGGACAGATTTCCATGGTGGCTGGGGCTTAAACCTGTGGTTCAATTGCAACAGTCTCCAAGACAATGTTCGAACCAGGAGAGATGTGCACATTGGCAGCAGCCATTCCAACAGCAAGTGTGTCTGGGGCGGCTCCACTAATGTCATGTGCGCTTCTTATGCTGCAAATTCTGGCTACCGCCGCAACAACGATGCCCATGGTGATAGTTTCGAGATCACAACCAACGGTGGGCACGTCTGTGCCAGGCGGACGGATCACCACGCAGGCTGGGGTCTGGATCTGCAGATTTCTTGCATTGACCGATGAGCTGAAAACGTGAGCACGTTGAGGCCTGAGAAGGAAATGGAGCCGGGCCTTTCAAGCATGGCCGCGCTCCGGGAAGAGAGGTTGCCTCCGCTGCTCTGGTGTTGCAGAGTGTGCACACGTGACATCTCCGGCTTATTTTCGGTCGGGTCGAATTCCGTGCCTTTCTTCTTGTCAGTTCGTGTCTGCCTTTGCTGTGGTTGAAGTAGCTCCGAATCCTACGTGGTGCCGCATTCTGTGCTGAAGCCGCCTCCTAAGACAAGCAGTACCGTGATTGAGACTAGCTAGTGGGGAAGCTGCCCTGCTCGAATGGAGTGCTCCTCTTTTTAAATGGCGAAAGTCGTCCTTTCAAGGCCCTGCTTGTTATACCGCTTCGCTCTTGCTCTTGCGTGGATAGTTGCCGGACATCCTATATCCAAGGGTCCAGTGGAGGATTGCAGCGAAGCGGAGGGTTGTCTATCGTTTCGGAGACTCTCCTCGGATGGATGGTTGCACAGCTTCCAGGCAGGCAGAACTGGAATTCTGGCACCGAAGTCGTGCAGCTCGTGAGCCACAAAGGCTCCCTCTTCGCTTCGGTTGGCTACTGGATGCATCCATCTCACCACCCAGGTCGGATTCTACGTTTGGATTGCCCAACTTGCGAATGGGAGATGGAACACCCAGAAGAAGGCAATGTGTATATGAGCTATGTGGTACGTCTCGAATGTCTGAAGTCAGTCAAATGGACGTCCACCCTCCCAAACCCTGTGACAACGCAGAGCGGCACCCATGAGTTGTTGCATGCCACTGGTTACTTGGACTGGCTGGGGGAAGCTCATTGCGTCTTTTGCACTCGCAACGATGCCACAAAGCTTTGGGCATGCAACCCGTTCTACAAAAGCACGCCTTTTACAGAGAATGGCTTCACTGGGCGGTCCATGATCCATTACAAGGACCCCATCACCGGGTTGGAGCAGATCATCCTTCCGACAGGAAAGGATGGCGTGACTCGGGGCTATTACGATCCGAACAGCCCTGTCCGCGTGTCGTTCGATTACCATATCGAGTCTGGCACAGAGAATCTTCCACAGCGGCCACTCGCAGTAGCTGAAATGGGTGGTCATGTGTACATGGCCGTTGGCCCACTCCTCATGAAGCGTTCACAGGGACGGACGGACGCAACGTGGACTACGGTTCTCGATATGTTGCAACATGACACTGGGGTCACACAGACGGATGAGGCCGTAGGCGGACTCCGCGGTCTCACTGCAGTTGACAATCCCGCAAGTGCTACTGGTAAGTCATTGCTGGTGGCATGGAACCCAAACGGACGCTCACAGGGTTGCATATATCGGTTAGATCCGAAGACCGGCACCGATGGCTTCGACGTGGCACTCGAGAAATGTGTCAAACAAATGATGAGGGACACTTACGACCCAAATGGGAAGTTTCCTTATGCTCTTGCAGCCTACAACGACATCCTGGCAGTGCCCGCGAGAAACGGCGGGGTTGTTCATCTCATTGGCTTCATGGTGCTTCTGTGGGGTCCCACTGCCCATTCCCTTCCTGCGAATCCTGGCCAATGGAACTTGGACGAGACTACGGGCAAGGGCGGAAGTTATTGGGCAGGTGGTGGTTACATGATTCGCCGGTCGATTTCGGATTATGAAGCTCGCGAAATCGGTGGAAGGAGATGCAGCCCAGACCAAGCAGATCCAGTGCTAACATCAGTTCGAGCATATGCTTTGTCCCCATTCCCCGAACAGAAGGGTGTTTATTTCGGTGGCTACGACTGCAATTTCTTTTCGTCCAGCAACAGTGCTTGGGTCTTCTGGGGCTCAGACTGCGCCACGCATGACGATCCAGAAGTCGCAGCCCCTGGCTGCGCGCAGCCGTCCCAACAAGGATCCAGTTGCACCCCAATTTCCGCAACCACAACTACAACTGCACCAGAACAGACGCCTGCAGAGGGAGGCAACAGTACGACTATGACAACTGAAAGTACAGACAAGTCTACGAGTCCGCCGACGAGCACATCTCAGGTGGGTGACACCTCGCATGCAGAGGGAGGCAACACGACGGCCACGACAACAGCAGTCACTGACAATCCGGCAGGCACTGTGCAGGCTCAGGATGGTCAGGTCAGTAGCATCTCGCTGCGGCAGTCTTGCCTCTACGTCCTACCCTGCGTTCTGCTGCATTGGCAATCTTTGCTTACGGGACTGTAGCTGCCAAAAGTTGCACATCTACGTCGCTTCTTGTAAGAAAGTAACATGTTGGGCAAGAGATTTCATTGCGACTCTCAGGGTTTTTCGCCAGAGGCCGAAGGCACAGGGCTGTCCCTCAGAGTGGAACGGGTCTGGCATCCGGATTCTGGTGCTTGCCGTAAAATGAAATTTCAGTTGCATCGAAACAGAGGGCGAACACGGCATCATCGGTTCTTTGGCATGCCCTTGGCCATTTTCACTTCAGAGGTATTATTTTTTACAGATTTCGATATATTTTTTAGATTATAATATTGCAATAAATCATATCTCTTTTTTTACGAATATACATAATCGAAATATATAATATAAAATTTATATATATATATATTGCAAAAAGAATTTATGCAAACCCTAACACTACATTGTATGTGATAAAACTAATAGGACAAACAGTGGTCTTCTCACAAAATTCGATTCTTTCAAAACATCCCAAATTATAATGAGAAGTATTTCGTGGCAGACCCAGAAACCTGAGTCTTTAAATAGGGTTGGCGGACAATATAAACTTTCAAATGGTGATTGGCTTCCAAAACCTGACAGTGATGATTGGTTGCTCGAGAAATTTAAGCCCTTTTGGTAATTCGAAAATCCGAGGTCTTAATAAAATATTGTGGTTGACAGACCCTGAAGGCCCGTAAATAGGGCAGATGGACTTACAGCCTGAGAACCCATAAACCACGAAGAATAATGAGTGACAGGCTCTCAACTCCAAAAAATCCCGTGCAGATCTAAACCTTTATGGTATCTCTAGGGCCCCCAAGCCTAATGTCTGAAGAATGCAAAGCCCATGAAATAATAAATCATTAAAGAAAACCGAAACTTGGACATATTCGCGTGAAAGGGTATGTTGTGTCGCAAACTTCAAACCCCATGATGATTTATTCTGATCCGGAAAAGCGGTAAACACATTCCAAACCAGGCGATATTGGTATCTTTTGTCTATCTCATTCAAGGATATACTTGATACCCAACTTTCCTTACTTGGACTGGGACTTATCTGGGTTTTCCGATCCCAATATATTTGCCATTTGAGGCCTGTCTCCTAGCATACCTTTGGGATCTGTTGGATTTGCCATCCATATTTTATTCCCAGTCGGGATCCAATCACTCCTTCAGGGGTTTATGAGCCGGGTTGGTCGCCTGCTAAACCTGTCATATTCTTTAAAAATATCGGGGTTTGTACTCGCCACCCGTCGTCTCTTACCAATATGCATAGGATTTCTCGGGAACCCATGGTTTGCCGCCCATCATGTCATGTGCCGTCGGATTTTGGGAGGCCCAATCACCTTTTCTATTGTAGCATGAGATAGTGGACGGCGCAAGAAAATAATTTCATTATTAGGAGGATTGGAGCCCAGAAAAAAAATACTAAGCTCGAACCAACGTTCGAGAACCAATCTCCAACATTCACTTCTGTCAGGGCGCTTTGAGAACCTGTTCTTTGCTGACTATTCCTTGCATGCCATCAGACTTGCCAAGGTTCATGGTTTAGGGGCGGCAGCCATTCGCAGCTTTGACAATTTGCCTCGTACCTACGCCCTGCCGATAGGTTAAAGATTTTAGTAACCGAGCCATGTCTTCTACTAATGGGATTTGCTATCCAATCCTCCTTGCCCAGGGCTTGGGGTCCTACATTTCATATTTAGGAAACGACCTTTCTTTTGGGGGTTTTGGGTCCTCTTACCAAGGGTGTGTCGGGTCATCGGTGCCACTGACTCGCACAAACGAACCCACCATGATCTATTTAATTTGTTGTTCGTGGCAAACCTTTTATTGTCGCTATTAGGATTTTCGTTCCTTATGAATGTAAGAATAATGCATCATATATATTTTTAGTGTCACCTGTAGTACGATGTCTTGGATGCCCGAAACCAGTGGCGTTTTTGAGATCACTAATCCCTACAGAAGTCCGCCAACAACAAATTCTTTCTATTGACTTAGCACTAAAGCTTGGTTAACTAGGGAAACAGAATTCCTTTGGTCTATGAGGATCATCTTTATTCTCTAATTATGCACACAAATTCTGGCCCTCTATATTGTCCCGCTTCCTCCCTCGCCTTCTCTACATAGCTTTGAGTACTTGTATGTTACATACATGTATATATATGTCTGTATGTGTATATGTATGTGTATATATATGCATACAATATATATGTTCATGTATATGTATATATGCGTGTATGTATGTGTATATGTGTTTATGAATGTATGCATGTATGTATGTCTGTACATCGGAACGTAAGTATGTATGTATATACGCCGGGACGTGCAGCATGCGCTTCTTATGTGCACGAAGGAAGGGAGTGAGGGGGAGGGGGACCGGCCAAAAAAGAAATCCATATATATATATATATTTTTTTTTTGTATTTTTGTCTCCCCCTCCCCCTTCCCTCCCGATCTTTCTTCCAAAGGATAATGCATCCTTGAAGACTTATGTTTTGAGGTCTTTATTCGTTAGTTATCTACTGTATAAGACTCTGTATGGAGGATAACAACATCATGAACTTGAAGCAAATACATCAAATACATCTCGCATGTACATGCACGAAGTACAGGAATCATTAACACACGTGAAGGCAAACAAACTATATGGGCCTATAACAAACAATTTGCACCTTTACCTGCCTGAGCCATACGATGTTTCACGTAGGAGGGGGAACGGACTTCTGGGGGGGTCGGCCAAAAAAAATAAAAGATATTATATATATATATATATCTCTCTCTCTCTCTCTCTTTTTTTTTTTGGCCGACCCCCCCTTCCTCTAACCCTTCCCTCCTTAACCTACTTCTTTAGGGTCTCGGAAGCGTCCGACTAGCTAGAGCCAACATAAACCAAGAACTTGATAGTACGTAGCTATATTGAACCCTAACCCTTGAAAACATGAAATATATCCAAGCCACATAAGTCCATGCCTATATTTCTGAAACCCACAAAATTTCTGTATTTCTAGTGTCCGTTAAATTTAACAGCTTACCATATAAAGATACTCAAATCTGTGGGTGGACATTGGCATTACATACTTCTAGTGATTTTTCAATTTAAAAAATTACAATATAAAGATATACAGGTCTGTGGGTGCACGTTGGCGCCACATACCTCTAGCGTCCTTTCAATTTAGAAGCTTACAATATAAAGATACACAAACCTGTGGGTGGAGGTTGGCATTATATACTTCTAGTATCCTTTCAATTTTAAGAGTTTACAATATCAAGGTACACAAATCTATGGATGCACGTTGGTATTGCATACTTCTAATGTCCTTTCGGTTCAAAAGTTTATAATACTGAGATATACAAATCTGCGGGTGGACGTTGGTGTTATATACTTCTAGTATCCTTTCAGCTGAATAGTTTACAATTAAAAAAACTACAGATCTATGGTGTACAATATAAAGATACCCAAACCTGTGGATGGACGTTGTCATTACATACTTCTAGTGTCTTTTCAGTTATAAGAGTTTATAATATCAAGGTATACAAATCTATGGGTGCACGTTGGCATTGCATACTTCTAGTGACCTTTCGGATTAAAAGTTTCCAATACTGAGATATACAAGTCTGGGGAAGGACGTTGGCGTTGCATACTTAGACTGTCCTTTCAATTTAACAGTGTATGATATAAAGATATACAAATCTGTGGGTGGATATTGGTATTACATACTTCTGGTGTCCCTTCAATTTAAGAATTTACGATTTCAAGATTCATAAATCTGTGGGTGGACGTTGGTGTTAAATCCTGTTGTTATCTTTTCCATTCGAGAGTTCTCAATATAAAGATACGCAAATCTGTGGATGGACATTAGAGATATATACTTCTAGTGTCTTTTCAGTTTAGAAATTTAGAATATAAAGATACAGAAATCTGTAGGTAGACATTGACGTTATATGGGTCTAGTATTCTTTCAGTTTAACAGTTTACAATATAGAGATATATATATCCGTGGGGCACGTTGGTGTTACGTACTTCTTGTGTCCTCTCAATTTTCAACGCTTACAATAGAAAGATGCACAAATCGATGGAAGGACGTTGGCGTTAAATACTTCTGATTTCCTGTCAGTTCAACAATATACAATATAAAGATAAACCTGTGAGTGGACGTTGATATTACATACTTCTAGTGTCTTTTCAGTT